GTATGTATCAGCATATGAAGTTGCAGAAAATATCATGAATGGTTTCTTTTAAACAGATTGAAACACAATTTGATGGAAGTGAGATCAAGGTCAAATGAAAGGACAAGGTCAAATATGTTGATGCAGTTGAATTGCTTACATGATAAATCTGTATGTATCAGCATAGGAAGTTTGGTATAAATATCTTGGATGGTTTCTTTGAAACTGAGCTTTGAACTGAGCTAAACTCAAAGTGTGACGGAAGGAAGGACAAAAGACAAACATGTCAAATGCTATATGCCAGCACCTGCTATAGTCATGGCAGGGCATAAATTAAAAACAAGGGGGGGGGGTTGTAGCCTGAACTTTTAGGGTTTTAACACAATGTGGTCAAATTAATTTTTGTTAAATAAAGTTTACTCTAGTCTGACATGAATGACATAAGCAAAGCTGGGGGGGGGGGGGATAAAATAGATTTTTCATTGCATTTTCCTGTAAGTGCTTTCAGTACATGTAGTAGTATATAAAGAAGAAACTTTTAAAGGGGAATTAGTCATAACTGTTCTTAATGGGCTTTTCTGTTTTTTTTTTAAAACTTTGCTGTTCTTTGGAATTCATCATCTTAAACAGTATATAGTATACTGCATACTGCAGAGCAGAAAAAATCTTAGGGAACATCAAGGGTATTTTAATCATGTTGAAGCATCAATATTTAGTGTTGACAAAAGGTTGATCATGATGAATTACTTTGCACATGTTTCAAATACTTAGTACATGTATTTCAACAACAGGCCGTAACACTTAAAATTATTAACATAGACCTCAATTAAGTGACTGGTCAACAGTAGAACATGAATTTCTCTTCTTGAAAATCACAAACACTGTGTATCAATGTATGAAATATTCAAAGCAGGGTTCAAAATATCAAGAACCATGTAGATTTAGTTAAGAAATTATCAGACATAGAATATATAATAAAGAATACATGTAGTTTGACCTTGAGGCTCAAGTGAGCTTTTCTGATCACATTTTGTCCGGTGTTTGTCTGTCCGTCTGTCTAGCTGTCAGTCTGTCTGTCTGTCCATCTGTCTGTAAACTTTTCACATTTTCCACTTCTTCTCAAGAACCGCTTGGCCAATTTCAACCAAACTTGCCACAAAGCATCCTTGGGTGAAGGAAATTCAAGTTTGTGCAAATGAAGGGCCACAATCTTTTCCAAGAGGATATAATTATGAATTAGTGAAAAATTATTGGCATTTTAAAAAAATCTTCTTCTCAAGAACCATTAGGCCAGGAAAGTTGAAACTCATGTGGTATCAACCTCAGGTAGTCACTAGTGTAGATTCAAGTTTGTTCAAATCATGACCCCCCGGGGTTGAGCGGGGCCACAATGGCAGACCAAAGTTTTACATAGAAATATAAAGGAAAATTCTTGAAAAATCTTCTTCTCAAAAAATAAAAAGCCATGATTGGTCATTCTTATATGGAAGCAACTTCAGGTAGATTCAAGTTTGTTCAAATCATGACCCCCGGAGGTAGTTTGGGGCCGCAATGGCTGACCAAAGTTTTTCATAGAATATATAGGAAAATTCTTAAAAAAATCTTCTTCTCAAGAATAACAAAGCCATGATTAGTCATTTTATATGGAAGCATCCTCAGATAGTGTAGATTCAAGTTTGCTCAGATCATGACCTCCGGGGGTAGTTTGGGGCCACAATGGCCTACCAAAGTTTTACAGATAAATATATAGGAAAATTCTTTAAAAATCTTCTCAAGAATAACAAAGCCATGATTGGTCATATTATATGGAAGCACCCCTAGGTAGTGTAGATTCAAGTTTGTTCAAATCATGACTCCGGGGTAGGGCGGGGCCAAAATGAACGACCAAAGTTTTCTATAGATATATATAGGAAAATTCTTGAAAAATCATCTCAATAATCGTAAAGCCATGATTGGTTATGGGATTTCTTTTGGATTAAAACTTTTCAATAATAAAACAATTTTCTACTTTTTCCTAGCCACAGTGCTCAGGTGAGCGATGTAGCCCATGGGCCTCTTGTTTTGATTACCCAAATACTAATTTTGTTCTTGAACTGTCTAACAGGACCATGCAGCTTGAAAATTATGATGCAAAAAATAAAGAGCAACATCTGATAAATGCCTCAAATGGCCCCTTAAAATGAATATCTTTATTTTACTTTATTTGTAGCTTTAATTTGTTCAGCTATACATGCAACCTTTATTGGTCATTTTCAAATTGATCAAAATGCGCCTAATACAGAAATGACATCATAAAGTTTACATTTTCCCGCCATTTTAGCATATTTTTTACAAAACTGCTTATTTTCAAGCATTTTTTCTTCCAGAAAGTATAGAGAGCAGACTAGAATAAGCTTTATATTTTTACCAAAGATGTATCCATCCAATACTAATTAGTGACAGAAAAATTATGTATGTTCTATACTGCACTCTATTTCCCATAAGACAAAACATCAAATAGGCGTATTTTTTGCCTTTTTTGGTTAGATAGCAAAAATAGCATTATTTCTCATGTCATTTTCAGCCAGTGAGTGCATATAAATAAGAAAAATATTTGGAAATATTTCAAGTGTATCCTCTTCTTCAAATTTAATATCAATCAAACATATCTCAATATCATTCTAAAATGTTGATTTTAAGGGGGCCATAATTGGCTCTTATCACATATAGTCCTTTATAATTTGACATTGAAGTCAAAGGTCAAGGTGAAAAGAAGGAAATATTTCTAATATATCCTCCTCTTCAAATTAAATATCAATTAAACATACCTTAATATCATTCTTAAATGTTGATTTTTTGGGGGGGGGCAAAATTGGCTCTTATCATGTACAGTCCTTTATAATTTGACATTGAAGTCAAAGGTCAAGGTGAAAAGAAGGTCATGGTATTTTATGACTCATTTTCATTCCAGATGCACGAATCTGTTACATTTGACACTGTTTCTTATAGGATAAATTACTTAAAATACCATGAACTATTTGTAGGAAATCATCTATGAATGCCTAAATTTGCATATATTTGAATCTCCATAGCAACATTGTTTTTGATTGTCTACCCAATTTTATTTTTTTAATTCTCTAATTAACCTAACCCTAACAAAATCACACTAAAGAGTTTATAAGTAGTTGCACAGCATTTTTTTAAAAGCCTTTCAAAAAATGGTGCAAATTCAACTATTTTTTGTTCAAATCATATCTCTTCTTCCCATCACTATAGCAACGTACTGAAAAAATGTAATCATAATGAGTTGGTCACCTAAGAACTTAGAATTAAGTCCTCTTTAAGGAAAGAGTAATTACAAACAATCTTTTAACAACATTTATGTGCATATATACTCTTTTTATGGCAATATTTGCCTGTTTTGAAAGTAAAAAATCTATTTTGGTAACTAAGGAAATGTTTTTCCTTGGATACGACAGTGTCGTTATGGTTAAAATCAGTATTTTTGTATTTTTTTGTTTAATTGTGATGGAAATAATCCATAAACACTGATTTCAAGAAAATTAAAAATTTTGACTTTCCATTCAAAGCTCAATGCTTACTGGCATGGCCTCTTAAATGAAAACAGGACGACAACAGGCTCATTATCGGAAAACAACAGCGAAAAAGACACTCAGAGGCGACAAAGAGTGATTCAATACAGGAGGAGGACAGTGAAGAAATCTTTTTGCAAGAGCTTGATTCAGATGAGATTAAAGTACTTTCCAACATATACTATGCGAAATTTGGACGTTTTGGTTTAATCTATACGTCCTTGAGTTAAATGTTTGAAGAATTTAGTAAAAATAATGTGCACGATTTTTAGAGTATTGAAAACCAATTAAAAAAATGAGTTTCTTAAAATTAAAAAAAAACGTTCGCTTGAAATTCTGTTTGAATCAAGTTTTCTCACAAAGTGCCTTTCGTGCTGAGTTAAAATCGTATGGACGGACGATGTTTGTGAAGCAATAATGCCCCCGTAGAGCAACACAGCAAAGTTTAAACTTTTCTTATATGCAAATTAATTATTTGGTACCAAAAGTAAGGTATTCTTATTGGAAAACAATCGTGAAATTTGAAAGTACACCAATTTTTAAGTTTCTGTAGAATATAGAAGCCCTAGCCCTAGCCGTTCAGAAGTTATGGCCAGATTAATTTTTTTCAAAAGTAGGTTAAACCCTACGGTAAAGGTCAAAGGGTCAACCATTCTTGTTATCAAATAAAAGGTCTTGTCAGAAGGATTGAATATGTGAAATATATGAAAGCACTAGTCCTAACCCTTTAAAAGCAATGGTCAAGGTTGTTTTTTTTTAAAGTAGGTCAAACTCAAAAGGTCAAATTCAAAATCGTCAAAGTACTTGATATTCTATGAAAGGTCTTTTCATAAGGATCGAAGTATGAAAGCTCTATCCCTTACTGTTCAAAAGTTATTGCCAAGGTTAAAGTTTTTTCACAGTTACAAAAATCTAGAAGGTCAAGGTTGTTATTATCAAATAAAAAGTCTTGCAACAAATAATACGTATGTGGAGAATAAACACTCTGGTACCTACTGTTCAAAAGATATGGTTAAAGTAAAGGTTTTAAATTTTCATGGAAAAGTAGGTCAAACTCCAAGGTCAAGGTCACAAGGTCAAATTTTGTGGTGCCCTAAGAAAGGTCTTGTCGTGAGGAATACCCGTGTGAAATATGAAAGCCATGACTTCATTGAATCAAAAGTTATGGGCCAGGTTACAGTTTTTGCGGACAAACAGACAAACAACTAGACAGACAGACAAAGAGAGAGAGAGAGAGAGAGAGAGAGAGAGAGAGAGACGGATGGACACGAAAAAAAATATATACCCCCGACACTTCGTTTGCAGGGGCATACAAATAAATAAATAAATAAAATAAGTAAAAAAAATATAGAAATAAAAAAAAGTATGACTCTCGATCTGGATTTTATCTTCATGTTTGGCTACAACAGAATATTTTTGCTGAAGACAAAAAAAAAATAAACTTGCTTAATGGACTTCTTCGAGAAGTACGTAAGTAAGTCATCAACTGTTAAAGTCGTCATTCCTCGTAAATGTCCCTGTGACTAAAAGTAATATTAATATACATATATTTGCATAAAATATGTGCAACATGCAACTACTGTGTTTTGGCTATTTTTCCAGCAATTGTACTTGTAATTTTTCCTTTACTGATTCACTGAATTGAAATTAGCACTGCTTAGGTGTTTGATGCACACTTTTCATCATTAATTCTTTAATCCAACATTGACTTCTTTCCCAATCTACGAATTTTTTGTGTACATTCACATAACATAAATGTACATTTATGTATTTTTTTTAATAGTTGGAATACGCCTTGATGGTTACGAAGTGTGGAAAACAGAGATTTCAGGTAAATAAATGTTATATCGAAAGCTATTTTCCATCAGATTAAGTTAAGTTTAAGATACAGATTAGTCAACTGATTTCATATTGTTTTACGTCCCAATCGGGAATTTATCACTCATGTACATATAGTGACGTCGTCTTTGTCAAAAAAAAAAAAAAAAAAAAACAGATGATACACATACACTTTGTCTTTGGATGAGACTTAATATCTTGTCAAAAGTTTAGAATAGTAAATAATTCTTAGAATTTTTTATCCTAAGAACTGAAAATGGATTAAACTTAAAAAAATTTGGCAATATCTCAATAAAAAACAAATAGAGACAAATCACACTCAATAAAGGTTTACAGTTGAAAATGTTACCTTGGTGCTAAAAGTGTAATATAAACTTTATTTTAAAAATACCAAGCCGGATGAATTGAATGAGGAAAAGCAAAATGATAAAAAATCAGCAATATCAATTTGATGTTTACCATTTTGCTTTTCCTAATAGAATTCAGCTCGCCTTGTATGTTTTTCTAAATTTAATATTACACTTTTACCACCAAGGTAACATATTTTGAAATTTGTTTTCAACTGTAATCCTTTATTGAGAGTGTTTAGTCCATATTTGTAATCATATTGAAATATTACTTAATATGTTTGCAAAGTATATTTCATTTTTCACTTTTCGAAACTTGTGACTTGATATCAAGTCTTCTTTAAAGAAAAAAAATATGTTTGTATCTTCTGTCTTTTATATGGATCTTGATTTATTCTGAGGAAAAAAATAAAAGGCCAATGTCAAAAATTCATTTGACTTAAAAACGCAACTTTAGACTTTAAGTCTAATAGCTGAAAGATTTATCGTTTTTGTATAATAACTTTTCTTAAGATCATATAGAACAAAAACTACAATTCGTGAAAATTTTGTCTCGCTAATTAAGCGTAAATGACGCTTTCGCAAACATAAGGTGTTGTGAAAATCCAGTTATGTACAGTACGAAAATACAGTTAAGACCAATGGTACAGTCAGTCATTTTATTTTTAAAACAAAGCAGTGCTCAAGTTTCAAAGTCAAAAATCACTCGAAAATCATAACTTATTCATATTAAACTGAAAATATTTATACAACAAAAATGGATATTAAATTAAGAGAGAAAAGCTCAAAACCATGCGTTTTTAAAAACCAACAACTGTTTATTTGTGAAAAGTGTAAACCATGTTCTATTTTCTCCGCGGCGATACATCAGTTGTAAAACTTTTGATATTGGTAGTGAGTGTTTATTTGATAAGTTCTCTTGCTTTAACAGTGAAAGACATAGACCTTTAAACGCAATAAAAACCCAAGCTACTGAACGACTAAGAGTGTTGAGTGAAACCCTTCATCGGTACATGGCATTATCGCATCTTCACCAATCATTTTAATACGTACCCTGCATACATTAGTAAGTGAAATACAGTATGTAATAAACTTGTAACATTAGATTGGTAATAGGGAAATTTTACTGTCTCTAATCGATTCAACTCAATATACATGTACAGTGTTTAACAGAGTAATATTTTGTAAAAAGCATATTTAACTTCCGTATCTCTTAAGGCAATGATCAAATTACGGAAACTTTATGCTAGGGGGTTACTGAGTATTAGTGGAAATTCTCACATGGCGATATTAAGAAAAAGTTTCAGTGTAATCTAATCGAAAATCAATATGCAATATTCCGTTTTCTTCTGTCTTCTTGCAAAACATTTTCCGGTGTTTATATGGATTATAGATATCTGCACCCCTTTGAAATTTTTACAATCACATAAAACTTAAGACAAAAAAATTAAATTTAGTTTGATCAGTGCTTTTGGAAATAAATCCTTTCCCTATGTTTGAATATGTAAATATATATTTCTAATCTCAACATATTTAACGTGTACACAAGAAACAGAATTTTATCTTTGTTTTCATTGTACTTAGACTGTTAAAATATGTAAGTTACAAGGTCTGGTAAAAAATTATGCTTTTGAATTCAAGAAATACCGTAAAAGTGGAAATTGTAACGAGAGCAAAATTTGGCTTTTTTATTTGTAGCGCGGTGTCAATACAATATACTATCAACGACTTCATATTTCCATAATGTTCCTTTTCCATGTCATACATTCATGATTTATCATCTATTCAACTATTGCATAGCACAAAAAAGCCCAAATCGTACCTTCTTCTTTAATTAGCCATTTTAAAATGGCCCCAAAAGCAGTAATTATAAGTAAAACACAACATCAGTTATAATTATGATTTGTGTATTAAATGCGTTATTTATGTATTAAGTATTCCGATCCTCAGGTATAAAAATTAGCAATTAGGTAATCAAAAATACTCATAAAAGTTTCTCTGAATCCACAAAGTTATATAAATTTATCCACAATATTTATTTAAAGTTGTAGATTAAAGTTAATCATATTAATAAGGGAAAATTGTATAATCTGCAATATTTTTGCAGAAAAAGCGAATTGGAATATCATAATGCATTCCTTATTGCAGGGTGATAAGCAAATATGTTTAAGGTTAAAAAAAACGATAGGTATCCAGGCATTCAGAGATATTGTAATGATTTTTAAACTTATTTGAGAATTTTTTAGATCACCTGAGCCGAAGGCTCAAGTGAGCTTTTCTGATCACATTTTGTCCGGCGTCCGTCTGTCTGTCCGTCTGTCTGTCCGTCCGTGTTTACGAGAGTGCATTTATTGGGTATTTTTCATGCCAAGATTGTACTTATTGGGTACTTTTTGCTTATTGGGTATACCCAACAAGAAATGTCGCTGAATATGCTTAAAACACCCTAATTGGGTATTTGCAGGTTAGTACCCAACAAAACTTGGACACGACGATTTGTCCAAAAAAGTGTCCAAAAAAGTTGCTTTCACGGACGCACCGTGTTTTGTTGTTTCAGTTTTACATTCGGAACTCTAAATTCTCGAGAGTTCCGAAATTCAACTTCCGTTGATCCTGATCATAACAACGTTTGTTTTTATGGAAAAAAATATGGCGACTAAGAAACACTTAATGTCAACAAGATTGTCTGATTGACAAGAGAAAAGGTAAGTTTATTCGATTAATATTTATCTATTGCTGGGTTCTTGTTTAAGGAAAATTGATTTTAATGTAATTTTGAAAACAATTGTGCACAAAATTAAAATAGATATCGGAACAATTAATCCTAAGTTGCACTTGTTTGTATTTTGAATTTTCTCTGTCTTTTTCACTCGCTTGAGGGCGAGAAGTATTTAGTAAATGATCGTATATTGTTAGATAATCTTTAATAAATCGAAAGTGTTTATTATTTAATTTTATTTCATAAACAACTAAGTATGTTCTGACAATATATATTGGATAGGGAAATGAAAATTTTAACAATCGTGTGTTCATAAATCAGCTGTAAATCATCGGTTCATGTAGACAGTATTACAATCGCAAAGTGAGCTGAGATGATGATAAATAGGATAATTGACAACCACTAAATAATTGTATGTAAGTTTATCTCATCTGATATGTAACTTAAGAGATTCACTGTATTACTGAAAATCTTTCAGTCAAAACAGTGCTTCTTTCTGTCTTTGATTTTGACTGAGTGTCTGCTTTATTTTGATTTTTTTAATTATTGTTTTTGTCATTTGTTTTAATTAATTTAAAACAATACTGAAATTGATATAGGGCAACTTTAACTATTTCACATGATGGGTGTGTAATTAGCATCGCGCTACACCCGGGGCTTCCATTTTTGAGGATGGGGCTAGTGGTTTTCTGCACAGAGGAATCCCCTTGGGCTATTATGAATTTTAAAATACACATGTAATACATGAAAAGCACCACCGGTATTTTCACTCTTTTTTGCTATTAAATTCCCTAATATGGAAATATTCCAGACAGCATGCTCATATTATCCATAAATCTCCACAACTGCATCCATTTTGCAGAACTACAAGACTGATTTACTTGAAACGATCTTTTATTTCCTAATTTGAATTGCCCCCTTTCCTTTGTTTACTATAGCAATATTTGCTTTTACATATATGCCTCACAGATATCACATTATTAAATTATATACATTTACTCAATCAGCTCAATGATAAGTGTCATGCATTTATGAAGCGTTTTTTTTAAAGCCATATATGGCGTAACTGATCAAAAAAATATATTTTTGAAAAATACAAAATTAAGTAAAGAAATATAGTCAATACATTTAAATTAAAGCTTTTCATACAATTCAGAGCACGGAGAACACCTCGTTTTATCTTCTCTGTAATGTGTTATTTAAATCTTTTGTATTTTCTTCCAAGTAGGAGAAAATTCCGAAAATCCAAAGTAAATTTTGATATCTTTATAACGCAATTGACTTAGATCTTTATCATGTTTATATAAAGTAATGATACAGATAATATGTTCTTATAATTTTAGTCTAATAATTTTCATTGTACATACGCCATATATGGCTTTAAATGATTCAAGATGAAAACAAAATGATTTTTGCTTCGTTTTAATTAGACGAACTAGTGAACAACCAGAAAAGGAATATTTAAAGTCTTTTTTTCATTTTTTTTTAAATCATTAATCTATATATGATTAAATTTTACTAGCAAAAATAAAATTAAACTTTAATTTTAAAAAGAATCATTTGTAGTTAATACCCAGGGGCCCGTTTAATCAAAGGTCGTACTCCCAGTCGTAGCGCTACGCCGGCGTAAAGTTGGGACTAGCACGAATATTTGCATTTCATTAAAGAGTGTATCGTTACGCCTGACTAAATTTAGGCCAAAATTTTACGTCTACTCATGGGTAGGCGTAAGTTAGGGCGTAAAGTTAAAATAAGGCCTTTTTATTAATTTTAGCGAGTTCTAAGGAAAAAAAGTAAGGTTCTAAGAAGAATTTAAAATACAAACAATTCATTATTTTATTATACATATTATGAAGAGGGGGAGGGGGGTGTTGTTACAACTACCTGGGGACGTAGTTGAATTGAGTAATAATGTACTCAAATAAT